TTCACATGGTCCGGGGTTTGATCCCTAGCCGACGCACTCCTTTACCTCGCTAAACCAGAAATAATGCTGGTAAAGAGGAAAGGTTGGGCATGAGGCTTGCAACTCCATCCTGTGAAATAAACTCTGCTACAGAAACTTCTAGCCACTATCTTGAAGTCTTGTGTTCCACTGGGGAGCGTGAAGGAAAAAAAACTGTATACAGTTATAAATTGGTACATTCATATGGTTGATTAAAGACCATTGATACCTACTCAGTTGTACAATGTTTTCCCTCAGTCTGTTAACTTACATGTCAATTAACAAAGACATTGAAATTCCATTTAGCAAATACTGACAGACAGACAAGTGAAATGGACTTCCGGTTTTAATTTAATAAAATAGGCATTCACATGAATAACCAGCCAACGCATCACTTAACTTCATAGGTTGGTTGCATTATTATTATTATTTTCTTTAATTCCCCAAGGAATATACGGCTTCAGCCACACGTCTCCATTGCTTTCGGTTTTCTGCCAACGTTTTCACCTGGCTCCAAGTCTGCCACCCACATGCTTTCATCTCCTCTTTACATCACCTCCTCCAAGTCACCCTTGCACTTACGACCAACTCGCCACTTTCCTTTCGGGCTCCACTCGAGCAATGGCTTGTCTAGTGATGTCACTTGATGGTGTGTTATCTGAGAGTATGATCAATCTAATCCATCTCCATTTCTTCCTGCTTATTTGTTGCACAATCGGTTCCTGCTAGGTAGGTTTTCACATTGCCCGAGATCCCTGTGACTGATCTTTTCTGGCCGGCTATCTGATCTTGAGTATTGAGCGAAGACAATTGTTAATGAAGGTTTGTAGTTTGATTGAGGTGCTCTTTATGACGCGCCAAGTTTCTCATCTGTATAGTGAGTAGCACTGACTTCACATTGGAGTTGAAAATCCAGATCTTTTATTTTTGATGCTGAGTAGTGCTGTTTACCTCCACACAGAATTGAGACTAATGAAAACTTGCCTTGCTTTCCCGATTCTCATGCTTTGATATCCTAATCAGTTCCATCCGCCTGTAGTTGAAACGAAAATACACAGGTAGGTAGGTGAGTTTTCTCTTTCTTCACCTGAAGTTCTATCTTCTCTGGATGCTTCTTCTATCGCCAACTTGTTGCTTTTCACTTGCATATCTTCCAGTTCGTGGGAAATCAGACATATATCATCGACGAAGTCCAGATCCTCCAAGTTTTTTGTGTAAGTCCATTTTATGCATGTTTCCTCGTTGCCCACCGCTATCTGTCACATTATCCAATCTACTGGAATTAGGAAAATCATCGGCGATAGTAGGAAGCCAGCTTGTCTTACTCCCGTCTTCACTTCGAAGGACTCCGTAAGTTTCCCGTTGTTGATTACTTGGCATGCAGCATTGTCGTAAAACTCTTGAATGAGATGTATAATTGTCGGTGGCACTCCGTAGTAGTAGCGAAGTAGTTGCCAAATCTTCTAACAAATCCGACTCTGTAGAAAAAACGATACTGCTTAAAGCCAGTTGTCTCACTCAGATGACTTGTGTTCAGTTGATGGATTCGATATAAGGCGTTCCGTCCTTTAGTGTATCACTTGAACAGTAGTGTCAGGTGTGAATTTGGTAATGAAAAACACCGACAAAAACTAAGCACAGTAATTTTATTCCAGCATAACGGGGTTCTCGATGCTCATTAGTACTGAATGCGCCTCCAACTGATAGAATCTGGTAGACCACTGGTTCCGGTCCCACTAGACGACTTGGGCCACGAGAGCCACCTCTTGTGCAACGGGTCATATTAATTATTGAATTGAATTTTTGATTTTCCCGTCGAGTGATTGGACCGAAGCGCTCAGTCTCAGGTTGACATGTCGGCTTCTTGTGCAGATGCTTCGACGATGTCTGGGCATTTAATTAGTATACAATTCGTGGATGGTCGAAGCATCTGCACAAGAAGCCAACATGTCAACCTGAGACTGAGCACTTCAGTCCAATCAATCGACGGGTAAATCAAAAATTCAATTCATTAAAGTATAATTATATTTCAATAGTTTACACACAGTGATAACTGTTTTGTAATTGGTAATATTTCGAGCGAAATTACTGCCCGTGTTCACACCACCAACGCTTGGAATTGTTTTGTTCACACTTTTATGATTTGTACTCATATATACAGTTCATAATTATTTTTTTGCTCATTCATGTTTTTTTGTGTGTGTTCAGAGTCATATTTCACGTTCATTCATGTGTTTGTATTTAGAATTATATTTCAAGTTTTCTATAGTTTAGTTTGTAAGGATTAGTTATGTTTTTACGAGTTGATCACGGATTGATATCAGTTGGAGAACCTTTGAAAACCAAGGAGTAATGGACAGCTGCTGTTTCATCCTAGTTTGAGAATCATCGCTAGTGACTTGCTACAGGTTGAAGTTTCCTGAGTTCTAGTGAGAAGTCGTGACCCTTTGAGGTCCAATTAGATGTCACGTGTGTGGATGGATGTCCCACCAACGACAATGGTTGGAGTCGCGCTAAATCACGAATTGGTGGAAGTTAGAATTCATGAGCCATTGGATCGGGTCCCAGTGATTGGCTGAATGGTATACGAGCTTGCTGGCCTTGTAACCGGAAGGTCCCGGGTTCGAATCCCAGTGGGTGCATAGTTCCGATGATTCTCAAACTAGCATGAAACAACAGCTGTCCAGTACTCCCTGGCTTTCAATGGTTCTCTAACTAATACCAATACGTGATCAACTCGTAAAAATATTCCAAGTTGTTGATAGTTGTACTGAGTCACCCTTGTTACATGTATCCGGTGTGACTTTAATGAATATCGATTCTGTTATGAGTCTCTCTTTTCATTTGCTCATGTCAGTTCATATTTAGAATACACACATTGTTCCAATCGATATTGTGGTTTTTGTCCCATGCATGTGCAGCTATCGATGAATTTTTTTCAAGATTTTTGTAAGCTTGTGTCCCTGTTGGTTGACCTTTAGTCGGTTAGGCGTTTATGTTCATTCACTCTTATTTTGAGTGATGATCTCGATGTTTGCCCCACATATTTAGTTGGACAGTCAGCACAAGATATTTTATAAATCAAATTGTTTTTATTTATTTCAGTGGATTTATTTCATTTTTTACTAGATTCGTCGATTTAAACGTTGTTCGAATGCCGATATTTTTGAGGTTTCTTTGTATTGCCTCTGATGTACCATTTTTATATGGTATTGCGACTGTTTGTTTGTATTCTTTCATCTTGTTATTCTCCGGTTTTACCCTCTTTTTTCTTTTTTTTTATTATCTTTTGTAAATTCTTTAGGGTAGTTGTTTTCGAGTAGCATTTTGAATAGGACTTTTATTTCTTTACACTGGTCCTCTGGTGTTGTTGTAAGTCTACGTATTCTATCTGCAAGACCTTGTATTAATCCTCGTTTTACCGAGAGTGGATGAGCTGAGTGATAATCAAGGAATCTTCCAGAGTGTGTTGTTTTTCTATATATTGTTGTTTTTATGCTACCGTCTGTCATTCTTTGTAGTTTGCAGTCTAACATAGGCAGTTCCCCAATTTCATTCTATAATTCTATAGTGAATTTTACTGAGTCGATGTGGCTGTTTATGTGTGTGAAAGGTTTCTCAGTATCGTTTTTTCATTATTACTAGTGTGTCGTCTACATATCTCCATCAACATTTTAGTGATGATCTGAATGGTTTAAGGGAATTCTCTTCCCAATAATCCATGAATATGTCAGCTATTATTGGTGAGATAGGCAATCCCATAGCTAGTCCCTCATTTTGTTGGTATATTTTCCCTTCGAATGTGAAATATGTTGTTGTCAGACAGAATTCTACCCCTTTTATTATCTCTTCTACGGATAACTGTGTTCTGTCTTTCAGGCCATTATCTTCTTTTAGTTTCTCTTTCAGTACATCCATGGCCATTTGAATGGGTATTTTCGTATAAAGACTGTTTTTACATCAAAGCTGACTAGTATTTCCAGTTCCTCTATTTTAGTGGTTTTTATTCGCCTCACTAATGCAAATGAATCTACTATTCTAGCTTTTGAGTTGTCTCTTGGCGTTCTTAGTATTGTTGAGAGAAATCTGGATATCATATACGTTGGTGTGTTTCTAAAGTCTACAATCGGTCTTATTGGATATCCCTCTTTATGCAATTTTATCTTACCATATATCCTAGGTATATTACATGATTTTGGCATAATTTCAAACCATTTTGACTTACCAGTTACTTCTTTCATTTGTCTAACTACCTTTGCTGTTACTTTCATTGTTTTACTTATGATTGTTTCAGCTGACTTCGTCATTATGGTATAGGGTCAAGATTGTAGATATTCATTCATCTTTTCATTATATGTTGTTTTGTTAAGTAATACTGTTGTGTTTCCTTTGTCTGCTTGAGTAATGACAATGGATTTGTCTGCTTTTATGTCTTGAAGTGCTTTTAATTCCTCCTTCGTTATATTTGGTTTTTCTGCTTTTTGCTTTTTTAAGGTTAATGAGGGCAGTAATTTTGCTTGAAATATTACCAATAACAAAACAGTTATACAGCAGGTTGAAGATGAGGCAGTAACTCATCGAAGAGACATTGCGAAGTGGTCGCGCTATGTCGTGAATTAAAAGAAGTTAGAATTGAAGGACCATTGGATCGGGTCCCAGTGGCTCAATGGTCTACGAGCTCGCCTTGTAACCAGAAGGTCCTGGGTTCGAACCTCGGTGGGTGCGTACTGATGAAGAGTCCCAAACTAGGACGAAACAGCTGTCCAGTGCTCCCAGGTTTTCCAGTGGTTCTCTAACTGATGTCAGCTCATGATTAAATCATCCATGCAATCAAACAAAATCCCTACAAAACCAATACTTGAAAACAGTTATCGTTGTGTGTAAACTATTGAAATATAATTATACTTTATTTGATCAAATCCACAATGTTCAAATTTTTTACTGATATTAACTTATCTTTTTTTTTTCTTCGTTTTTCTCAGTGAACAAGGAGAAAACCATCTGAGTCTGTTGAATTCCGCCTGGCTAATATCAGTAACATTTTTGAGTATTGGTTATGGCGATATTGTACCACATACGAGTTGTGGTCGTTTAATTGCAGTTGCAACTGGTCTAATGGTCAGTTTACTAATTTATGCATATATATATAGTGTTTATCAACTATTTTTCTTAATTGTACTGCATTATGTCCATATCATATCCCCTTCTCCCCAATGTCACTATGTGGAGTACATAACAATATGATTGTACACTTTTGTTAGATGTTGAAATTAGAGACATTGTACATGATTTGTGTTTAAAACCATTCATGTTTAAATATGTATATATAACTTCCGGGTACAATTCGAAATACACTATGCTGTTGGAAGCTTTGCCTTCTCAGTGGCCATTACTGTCTACTTGCTCCACTCATACCACGTCGTATACTTTGGATTTATTGCAGGAGTCTATTATCCTTATCCAAAGACAACTCTTCAACCGGACCACAGCTCCTACCAGTAGATCCAAATTCCAACATTGAACACTCCCGTGGATTATATTAATAATTTGTACCAGTGGACTTTAAGAGTATAACCAAGGAACCTTACAAATTAATCATGTCGGGTTCACGAAATAATTTGTAGGGGACTGTCAGGAGAGCTCATTGACATTCATGAGACATTGAATCGGGTCCCAGTGAGTGGGTGAATGGTATACGAGCCAGCTTGTCTTCTAACCGGAAGGTCCTAGGTTCGAATCCCAGTGGGTGCGTACTTCCGATGATTCCTAAAACTAGGATGAAACAGCAGCTGTCCAGTACTCCCTGGTTTTCAATGGTTCTCTAACTGATAACCACCCGTGATCAACTCGTAAAAACATAACTAACCCTTACAAACCAAACTATAGAAAATTACGAATATGCGAATAAAAATCCAAGTCAGTTACATGAAAGTGTAACAATATTTTATCAAGAAATGCAGTAATGAGTTACATGAATTAAAAGGCTACTTGGATATACTCTTTAAGTCCACTGCCACAAAAATTATTAATATAATCCACAGGAGTGTTCAATGTTGGAATTTGGATCTACTGATAGGAGCTGTGGTCCGGTTGTAGAGTTGTCTTTAGATAAGGATAATAGACTCCTGCAATAAATCCAAAGTATACGACATGGTATGAGTGGAGCAAGTAGACAGTAATGGCCGCTGAGAAGGCAAAGCTTCCAACAGCATAGTGTATTTCGAATTGTACCCGGAAGTTATATATACATATTTAAACATGAATGGTTTTAAACACAAATCATGTACACTGTCTCTAATTTCAACATCTAACAAAAAGTGTACAATCATATTGTTACGTACTCCATATCTATTCTTGTATATATGTTTGAGTGTCTTTTAAGAAAGACTCTAAGATATGATGGAGATGATTTGTAGCTCAGGTGGATGATTTGATTTGGTCATGTTCTCTGAGCTGGATAATTAATTTGTGAAGCTTTCATTGCCGTCCCCCCCGCCCTACTACGGAGCATCTTCAGCGCATACACTTCAATTCGATGAAGTGAACTTTTAGATTCCTCCACGCGTTTAATAGTCCCACTCTTCCGGGTGACCTTGAAGGTGATTGGTTGTTTTTGAGTGTTTTCACACCTTCTAGGTGACTTGTATTGGAACTGATTGTTTCCTTGACTTGAGCTTAGACCCTTTGCATGTGTGAGAATTCTTTCCTGTCGATTGGTAGTAAATTTTGTCTATCTCGATGCATCGATTGATTGACGATTTACTGGAATACCGGGCAGGCTTCTAAAAATTCTCTAGCACTCTACATGTTTCCTCTGTCTAATATTTGAATATTGTCCCAGTCGATTGAGATGACTAATAAAGTCGTGGAGAAATCTAAAAGCTCACTTCATCAAATTGAAGTTTGTATGTCCTGAAGATGTTGCCTAGTAGAGGGGGGAGGCAATGAAAGCTTCGCAAATTAACTATCCATCTCAGAGAACAAAGCCACATCAAGATAGACTCTTCCAAAATACGGCATAAATGGGAAGCTCCTTAAGATTACACTATGTAGTGATTTGTGTTCACTATGAGGCTGACAAATCTCCGTAGCACTTTTCAGTATATATCCGTCTGTTCAACTTGCCATACTTAGAAAACAAAAATCTGCAAATGGATGAACACAAGAAAAGTGGTTAAACACGATCACAGTGGGGACGAAAAGCCTCATAAAGTGTTGAGGAATTTGCTAACAGTGTCTGCTGGCAACTGTCATCCAGGAATACGTTGGCTTAGTATATATGGAAAACATGTCTTAGTCACTTGGACCGATGAATATGCTCACTGTTGGAATGGGTTTGGAATTATAGGATTAGTAGGCAAATAGAATAAAAATGCAAAAACGTTACGTAACAATACACATAAAATTCGATAACATACAATTAAACTTTGCAAAACGAAATCGACTTAGAATGACAAGTGGAAGAAGTTAAATAATCTCAGGGACAATTAAAAGTGAGAAAAGTGAATAGTACCAATTGATGCGGTTAAGGAAGAGTGCACAAACTGAATAAACAAAATTAAATAGAACAACACATTTAAGCGAACAATATTGTTTTCAATTAGATCTCATCAGGCTTAACTCTAATATATATATAAGTTTACAAATAAAAATTCAAATATAAACCAATCATGGTGTTTTGTCTATAGGATAATACGATGGTGAATATAAATTGTGCAGTTAGTCATAATAGTGGTAATGATAATATTAATAATAGTAATAATAATAATAACGGTCTTATCAATAATAAGGATGAAAAAATGAGGCAATCTGTGATAACATGAATAATGAAAAACAGTATGATTAAACAAACAATTGTTCAGGTGGAAGTAGTCGATAAAGGCTAGTAAAAACAAATGAACCGATTACGTAATGTTAGATTGTAGGGGAAGGAAATGAAACACGTTTATAATGAATATAAGATAAGATTAAGGGATGATAAGAAAGGGGTTGGAAATATAAATAAGGGGTGGTGTAGAAGTCTTTCGTTGGTTATGTCTTATTAGGCCACGGGAGGGATAATGGCTGTACGAACGTCTTTTGAATGCATAGTTTAGGTTTAATAGTTCGAATGCCTGCCTCGGCTGTGTGCAGTAGACGAATACGAAGTCTATTAGAAAGATTCGGAGGGATACGATGAATTACTTTGAAGGCTTTCGTTTTATCGACTACATCACCACGATCAATTAAATGTGACAGAATTGAGCCACGGATTGTTTTTGTCTATCCTTTGCCAAACCACGATGGGAGATGTTCACTAACACGTTGGCTAAGCTGTCTAGTAGTACGCCCAACATAACTGTTACCGCAGGTGCAGTTGAATTGATAAATACACATAGATGTGGCAAAACTATCAAGCTTATCCTTCGTTTGCGTCCCAATCATTCGTCGGCTAGAGAATGACAAACATAGGTGTGCTGCGTAAAATGTTCTACGTATGCTCCTTGAAAGTCTTTGGAATAGAATCTCACTAGATAAGTCCCCATTAAATTGTAACTTAATAAATAGAGGTTTCTTACGTGCAGTCAGAGTCTCAGGTTTTCTCTCTGATGTTTCCATATGTTTCTTTATGAAACTACTCGGATAGTCCATCTCCGTCAAGGAATCGTGAATATATTCAAATTCCTTTTGTAAGAGGTCATCCGTACATATCTTCCTTGCTCTGCTCGCGAGACATTTTACAAGATTCCTTTTATATTTAATGGGCACGTAACTAAGGGAGTGTGTGTACTGCCCTGTGAATGTGCTTTTTCTGTACACCCTTCTCCCAAGTGGCCCATCTTCTCTTCTACTTAGCAAGACATCCAGGAAATGTAGTTTATTCTCCTGCTCCTCTTCACAAGTAAAGGTAAGCGAAGGGTGGATGTTGTTGAATTTAAGTAGCAACTCGTCTATGTTAACCTTCTCATCAGCTAAGATAAATGTATCATCGACATATCGGTAATACATATCCAACTCCTTGATGGTATCCTTCAATTTCCCGTTTTCAAGTTTTGCGAGAAAGAAGTCAGCTAATATTGGGCCTAATGGTGAACCCATAGCTATTCCATCTACTTGTCGATAGTATGAATTATTGAAGACGAAGTGAACATTCATTGTGCATTTAAGAAGTAATTCTTTGAGGCTACACAAGGGGATAAGACCGTTATTATTATTATTACTATTATTAATATTATCATTACCAGTATTATGACTAACTGCACAATTTATATTCACCATCGTATCATCCTATAGACAAAACACCATGATGATTGGTTTATATTTGAATATTTATTTGTAAACTTATATATATTAGAGTTAAGCCTGATGAGATCTAATTGAAAACAGTATTGTTCGCTTAAATGTGTTGTTCAAAATTAAATAGGTTTTATCCAAGAGGATGGAAGAACACCATCCTGTATGGTCACAAAGAGGTGGATGTGAAGCAATAAGAAGCGAGATCACTGAACATCTATCTGATTGATAATGATCACCTTATCTCTACCGTATCTCCGCCTTTAAAGTCATCTACAAGACGAAAAATAATTTACGCAAATCATTACGTATCCCAGTCATCTGCTGCATTGCTGAAGCGGCTTCGGCTATCGACAGAGAAAAGCCAGATCTCTCTGAATACAGAAAATGTTCGCCCAACGCATCCAGCTTTCACGGTGTCTAATTCCATCTATGCTTAAGTATACTAGACCCTATTTCGGCTTGTAATCATTTCGCTAATTCTACTTTCAGTGGCAATGCTTCACGGCTTCACAGTGTACATGATTTTCGATGGATCGTCAAATGTCTCGCTGAAGCTAAAAGATAAGTCAATTGGACAAGGACGTAGGTTTTTCTGGCGTCAGTAAATTAGGGTTGATTCAAACTTGTAAAATACACAAAATGATCAGCAACGGTATCTTATTCGATATTAGTTTGTTAATTAGATATATATATATATCATACAGTCACTGAACCAGTATTATTATTTACCAGATGATAAGGTGTTGAATACAACTTATTACTGTTCATAATCATATCTGCTATAATCACACAACTTCAAAACTTCAGTTTTATAGTTTTCTTTATTCTCTCCTATTTGTTGTCGTAGGGGTAGTAGAATTTTCCAGATATCTGAGTGGACAGGTGCTGAATCATTCCTACTGCATTTATTCTCAACGATTAGATTCGATGAAGAAAGACGCCTTTATCAATCTCTCCCTCCACCCTGTTACATTAGTTACCAAGACTTTTACTAGATGACTGTGCCTGACTAGCATGAAAAATAAGATCCGGATTTTCAACTACAATGTGAAGTCAGTACTCCTCATTATACGGATCAGAGACTTGGAGCGTAATAAAGAGCACCTCATCAACAGCTGTCTTCACTCAATACTACTCAAGATCAGATGGCCAGAAAAGATCAGCGACACGGATCTCTGGCAATGAGCAAACCAAACAACCCAGCAGGAACCAACTGTGCCACAAATCTGCATGGAGAAATCGGGGTGGATTGGATTGATCATACTCTGAGGAAACCATCAAGTGACATCACTAGACAAGCCACTGCTTGAGTGAAACCAAAAGGGAAGCGGCGAGCTGGTCGTCGGTGCAAGGGTGACTTGGAGGAGGCCATGTGAAGAGGAGATGAAAGCATGTGTGGCAGACTCAGAGCCAGGTGAAAACTTTAGCAGAGAACCGAACGCAACAGAGGCGTGCAGCTGAAGCCGTATGTTCCTCTAGGAACTAAAGGAAATAATAATAATTACTAGATGATGCACACACTGTACTAAGAACACAAGATATAGATAGGTTTTCGAACCCATCAAGTCGAACGTAGAGGCAGTTCAATTAACTGATAAATTGGAAAGTCATGAAAACGAGAGGACTTACAATGTTAGGCTGTAGCGTAAAAAGGAAAGAAGATGGAAGTTAAACACACGCTAGTGTTTACAGGAAACGCACACAATCAAACAGATATTTGTACTTCCGATCATCCCATCCTAAATCAGTAAAAATACGATTGGTGAAATCTTCAAGTGAAATAGAGAACAAAAACTAAGTAGCACCAAGGAAAATCTAAGACAGGAAGTGATACACATTAGAGAAGCTTGAAACTTAATAATTACTAGGATAAATTAGTCAGGAAATGTGCAAGGAAATGTAAAAATAAATAAATAATGATAGTGATAGTAATAATGACGACACTAACAATAAGGAATCTTAATCACCAGGAGTAATTCCACACAAGGAAGGAACCTCGAAAGCCACCTTACTCAGAATTCTTAACAAGGCAGGAATAAAAGTGGCTGGCATTCAAACCACCCACAAACTCAATTAGAAACAACCTTTGTCGGTTAAATAATCAACCTTGTGGAGCCTTTAAAAAAAAACTATTTAGTTTATCTAATACCCTGTCTGCAATGATTGTCAGGTCAAATACATACGTCAAACTAGTAGAACAGGGTCAGTCAGTCAGACTAGCCGAACATAAAAACCTAGCAAAATCTAGATTGGTTGACCCGAATAAGATAAGAAATCTAGAGAATAGTTCAGCTATAGCACTACACCACATGCAGTTACACGCAATCACAGAATATAGGTTGGGATAGGATGACAGTTTTAAAATATAATGTCACAGGGGAAATGGAGGGAGAGATTGATAACAGAAGCTTTGTTAATCGAATCAACTGCAAATACATGTAATAGGAATGATTCAACACATATCCACCCAGATATCTGGAAAATTCTACTACCCGAACGACGACGAATAGAAGATAACAAATAAGACTATAAAACTCAAGTTTCAAAGTCGTGCGACTATAATTGGTATGATTATGAACAGCAATAAATTTTGTTCCAAACCTTGTCATCCAGTAAATAAGGATACTGTTTCACTGTCTGACATATATGATAAACAAACTAATATGGAATTAATTACTATCACAGTCCCCATGTTTTGCACATATATTAATGGGATCTTATCTGTCAGCTAGAAATCTTCGCAAGCTTCATTTTTTCTCCACTATACAACAGGATAGTGAATACCACATATAATAGAGAAGATTTGTAGCTCAGGTGGATGATTTCCAATTATTAGTGTTCTCTGAGCTAGTTGGTTTAGCTGCGGAGCTTTCGTTGTCCCCTTGCTGGACAACATCCTTTCAGCGCAGTATTTAGCATAAAGTGGAATGATTTAAATTTTTCCATGAGTGAGTGATAGAATTGCGTCTCCCGGTACCAATATTTACATATGTATTGATCATTTTCTATTGACTTTGGTTTTAAACTTTCTGGTCACATGATTTACTTTTTATTAGTTGGTATATTTCGTCTATATTAACGTGTTTGTTAATTGCATTTTCTTTGAGTACCGGGCTTCTAGGAATTCCCTGCGCACATTTTATGTTTCCTCTGTCTAAGATTTCGACATTATCCCAACTAATAAAAAGTTAGTGTCACTTCAGATATTATTATTATTTCCTTTAATTCCTAGAGGAACATAGGGCTTCAGCCGCACATCTCTATTGCCTTGGGTTCTCTGCCAACGTTTCACCCCACTCCATGTCTGCCTACATGCGCCCATCCCCTCTTACCATCACCTCCTACTCCATGTCACCCTCGCACTAACAAACAACTAACTCGCAGCTTCCCATTTGGTTTCCACTTAAGCGATGGCCTAGCATGTGATTTCACTCACTTGATGGTGGTCTTTTCTCTCAGAGTATGGCCAATCAGCCTTCATTTCTTTGTGCAGGTTTGTTGCACAATTGGTTCCACCTGGGTTGGTTCGCTCATTGCCAGAAATCCCTGTTTCTGGCCATCTGATCTTGAGTGGTGTGCACAGACAACTGTTGATGAAGGCATGTGGTTTGTTCAAAGTGACCTTCGTGATGTGGCGTGGCGTCAAGTCTCTGATCCTCAAAGTGAGTAGTACTGACTTCACACTGGAGTTGAAAATCCGGATCTTATTTTCATTTTCCGTGCTGATTAGTGCTGTTGATCTCCACATAGACCTGGGAGTAATGAAAGCCTTTCTTGCTTTCCCGATCCTCATGCTTTGATATCTGTGCCAGTTCCGTCCGCCTGTAGTTGAAACGATGCTTCCCAGGTAGGTAGGTAGGTAGGTGGGTAGAGGAGGTTGCTTCTTTCAGATTTCTCCCATTTATGCTGGCTGATTGTTGTCTATTGTTGCTGTTGCTGTTGGTGTTGGCCAGGAATCTTCATCACCTGTATTTTCTCTTTGTTCACCTGAGGTCCTATCCTTTATGCTTTTGCTGCCAACTAGTTGCTTTTCACTTGCACATCTTCCAGTTTGAAGGAAATCAGAGATATATGTCGTCGGCGAAATTCAGACCCTCCAAGTGTTTTTTCTGAGTCCATTTTATACCTTTTCCTTCGTTACCCGCCGCTGTCTGTCGCATTATCCATTCTACCGACCACACTCAGTAAAATCATTGTGCTTTGGCGGCACAGCGGTTAGGACTCTCGCCGACCATGCACACGGTCCGGGGTTCGGTCCCCTGCCTACGCACACCCGATATCACATGCTGAAAATTCCATACTTGTACCGAAAACACGGCGTGTCATCAAGCTGTAATCAAAATAATAAATAAAAAAAATAAAAATAGTAGGCAGCCAGCTTGTCTTACACCCGTCTTCACTTCTTCAAAGGATTCCGTGAGTTTCCCCGCTTCAGATATATAGCATAGCAACAATCCAACACACAGATAGAATTGAAACACACCTCTTTTAACTGATTTCTCAGTTGAAAAAAGGAATACATTTCTTCATTCAATTCATTGTTCTTTCTTCTAAATCATTGAATAAAGCATTTTTTAATTTCTGTGTTTTTTATTTTAACACTTTTTGCCGTCCACTAAAACAGGGTTCTGCGTGTACTGCATTACTAGTAGCGGTATTTTCAAGAAAACTAGAAATGACAAAAGCAGAGAAACATGTCCTACATTTTATGGAATCAAATAAATTAACAAAAAAGGTGAGTACAATCCACTTCTACAGTTACCAGTATTATTATTATTATTTTTACTATGATTATTGTTATATAATTAGAATGTTACCTACTCTGGTAGCACTTTCACTTCCAATCTATGGTGGCTGTCTCTAGTCTTCTTGATTTTTAATGACTTAATACTTATTTGATTGGTTGGAGGGTTTTGTCATGAGCTGACATCAACTAAAGGACCAGAGTACTGAACAGTCAACTGTTTTTCGTCCTAGTTTAATGCTCTTCGTCAGTCACAATTCGGAGGATGCTGAAGACTGTCAGTAGGGCGAGTGGTGTCCCAGTGGACCACATAGTTAACGTCGCTGTCGACAAGGCACTTGACTTTGTGTAATAAATTTGCTAGAGGGATTTTGTCTGACTTAGCGCATCCACTTTACCCTCAGCTTTCACCTTGCATCTCCTCCTCAGGTAGAACAAGAGTTAATCTCAGAAAACTGTATGCTCCCACGTCGAAGTATAAAAATTCTATGACACTATACTTGGCACGTATTTTATGCGATGAATATAGTGTCAGACAACAATTAACTAACCTTTTTCGTTCTAGTAAATAAACAATTCCCTCCATCCATCCCTCCCTATATACCTTCAAGTTTTACTTTTATTATTTCTGTTATATTTATGGTCCTGTTGCTTCTTTGTTTTACTTTCATAATTGCAAACACCAACTTATCTCTATGACTGCTGTAATCTTTGTTTTCCCCTCATCAGATCATGTAAGGAGAACATTATATTCAATATTTTTAAACATGCTAGGATTTCTGTACCGCATATACCGACAATACTGTGTGAAACAAGCCGACGGCAATTTTCACTTTTATTATTATTATTACCTTAGCTGTTATCATTATTATTATTACTATTTCCATTTTATATGCTGCATGTTTTTGACATTACCTCTATTGTGAATGTGGAAAATTTTCTGTGTGATTAATTTTATTTATAATGTGATGAAATTAGATTCAATATTGTGATTAATGCTGAAAATTCCATTCTGTATCACAAGTACTATTTTTGGAATAAAGTAAATCACTATTATTATTATTAATAAAAGACTATATCATATTATGAAGGGTATTAAATGCTGTGAGTAGGGCTTGTGGTATGCCACTGCGTGAGCTCGCCAATATCATAGTCGAGTGACATCTAAAATCCTGTACAAAATGGGCAAAGACTGTACTGTCAGACCCCTGCACCCCCTTTATTCCCAACTGCCCCCTTCCATCTCATCAGGTGGGAGGAGAAATCAATATAAGAAGGTATATGCTCGCACCACTAAGTAAAACATTCTACAATACCCTTCCTATTTAGCCCGTATTTTATGTGATGAAGACACTGTTAGACGTGAAACGTATAAGGTACTATGTAATTAGCAAAGTGAATCGACCCTTTCATCGTTCATCTTTCTGTAATTTTATGGTGTCACTCCTTTTATCGTTTAATTATAATTTAGCTATTTTATTTTAGTTGTTATTACTATTATTATTACAACTTTATACTTTATGCACATTTTTCTCCTTTATTGCATACTGTAATTTGCTGCATAGCTGCTATAACAACGTTATGTTATTATTATTATGTAATGTTTACTTTTGTTGTTGTCGTTTTGAGTAAATTAGATGCAATATTGTACTGATTGCTGAAAATTCCTTGCTGTATCATTAGTACTGCTTTTGGAATAAAGCAAAATTATTATTATTATTACTCACCTAGCCGCCTCCGGGGTTCTAGCCCAGGACCTTCAGGTTAAAAGGCTAGCAGGGACCTGATCCAATGGCTCATGAATTCATGCTGAAATCCTCCAACCAATCAAATAAAATTCCCTACAAAAACCAATACTTGAAAATTCCTGAATGCTTTATTCTAAGAAATCATTTACAATACCGCGTGAAATTCTTAGTAATCAGCAGAGTATTGCATCTAAATTACTTGACTATGTTACAAAGCAAAAAATAAATACAATTATGATCATAATAATTCGCAAACCCAACCAACTTGCATTTACTTCAACCTACCTAAACACTAATCTAGTCAGTTTCGGGCTCTTGACCCTAAACGGCACTCATTTGAATCAATATTTAAGTTATCACTTCTGCTAAATTTAATTGAATTTGAGATTTTCCCGTCGACTGGCTGGACCGAAGTGCTCAGTCTCAGGTTGACATGTTGGGAACATCATCACTCACTGAGAAATGCAGGTACATCCAGCTGACGAGTCCCAAATAGGACGGAATTCGCATCTTCCTAAATACCGAAAAAAGTTTCTCTGAAATCATTGTAAGGCTACTGAATCCTTTTGGAATAGACGTTGTGCACAAATCAACGCAAATCACTACAACCTCCAATACGTCAGCGAAAACGTGTTACATTGAAAGAAGGCGAAATTCAACATCAATTACAAGATGAACTGAAGCGATTGAGAAAAGCACTATACTGGTGAAAGTCGATGACATCTTCTCTGGCCTTCAGAAGGAATGATATACATTCCCTTATAGCAAACAATGCGCATGCAGACAACTATACACACCACAGATTCAACTGGAAGAATGCAAAAGTCTTGGACACAAAATTGATGTAGACCGGATTTATTGATCAACAAAAAAAATAATAATAGTTATAATGACAGCGACTAGTTCGGTAAATTTGAAGACATTTGAGTTGTACTGTCCACTAATAATCTTGAAGGATTTCACGGCTGTCACATCATGTCTCAGTGGCTGAATGGTCACGTTGCAACAGGAGGGTTAAGGGTTCAAATTTCGGAGGGAGAATGCTGTTGAAGAAACTCAAACCAAGGCGAAACAGTTGGCTGTCCAGTACTCCTAGATGGTTTTCCAATAGTTCCCTAACTGATATCACCTCATGATGAATTCCTGAGACCTCTTTTTACCTGGCTCTATGACTGCCCCTATTCATCTTATTTTTACTCCACACATTATCTCTTCTAAGTCATCTTCAGATGACCAACTCGTCGCTTCTCATTCACGTTTGACTTGGAGGCCTGTTGATGGTGTCATTCGTATTTTCAACACCTTTTTTAATCTATCCGCATTGTGTTCTAAAGATTTGTTGGGTGATGCGTTCTTGGTTGATTTGTTGCCAGAGTTCCCAATTTGCCTAACTTTTTCAGGATGGAGCTAGCGAAGGCAGCTGTTGATACTCACCAAGCATCAGGCTATTGGAAATGCTTTCCATAACGCACTCCAAGTCGATGAACCATGGAGAAGCACTAAGTTGTCATCATTGTTGAAAACTCGAATCTTGATTCCCTTGGATGTGTACAGGAGATTTCCACACTGATTCCACAGTAACAAATACCTGTCTTGTCCAGTGATTTGACATTCCCATCAGTACCACCTGTAGCTGAAAAGATGCCGTCTTGAGTAAGCGAAAGAGGTTTTCTTCCATCGATTGTAACTAATGCACTGCTGTTGTTGATAATGATGATTAGTCATCTTCTTGACCTGCGTCTTCGCTATGTTCACTTGAAGTCCTGTCTTTTCTGTGAACCTCTTCTGCCGGCTTTTTCTTTCAGTATTTTCATATAAGTCTTCAACCTTGTGTGACATTAAGCGTAAACCACCCACGAAGTCAACGCCTTTTAGATACTTCTCATCAATCTAACTTATTCTTGTCTCCTCACTCCCCAGTCCAATACAATCAGGAATCTTGTATTACTCCCACATTCATTTTGAATCCCTTGATATATGACATCATCCGATAGCCTTTGAATGAGGTTGATAAAGATCTACAGGGGGTGCTACGTATTGTTGTAACAGTTTCCATATCACTTCTTGGGTGGTGCTACTGAAGGATTTTGCGAAGTTGATGAAGTTGAGTTAAAAAGTCGACTACCATTCCATTCTCTATTCAATGGTGTTATGCAGTGCTGTTATTTGATCCGACTATGATTTGCATTTCCTGATTCCAGTTGGTTCCTGTCGGACTTTTTCATCCACAACATCGGTTAGTCTCTCCAGAATGATTCCTCAAGATCCCGCGCATGTTTCTGTAGGCGCTTACATCTCTCGTCTTTGGTACTTTTACTAATTAACAGGCATATTTCCTTCTTTCTAAACTTTCTGCAGTAGAGGCGTCATCAAATGTACCTAACTCTTTAGATGGTCTTTCAGTGCTTCCGAGAGAACCCTTCTGGTCTTGCTGCTTTCCTATTTTCAATGATTGTGTGATGAGAGCTGTCTGCAAGCCAAAACTGTAGACAACAATTTACGTCAATGTTCACGTTCCGAATCGGGGTCATGAAAAACAATAACAAAGCTTAACCATTAGGAACTCACTAACCAATCACAGATGTATGACTTGATTTTCTGAGAAACGGTCACAAAGAGATGACAGAATAACCTTCAGCAAAAAAACAACCAATCAAAAGACGTTGCTTTTCCGCTAACAATACCCTAATATTAATGTACATAAAAATCTATAAATATCTGTTAGTTTTCTCAATAAACAACCTGCTGCCTGGACGTTGTCTTCTGTCCTTACAACTGTACGGCTTTTAGGAACTTCCACTGTTTTTCGGATGACTGGTATTCACTGGAATTTTGTGTGACTGTTTGTGGTATTTTTGTAAACATTGCAGATTCATTAATTGCTGAATAGTACAAAATCGGGGGAACTGTTCGTTCGTTATGTAATCTGAACAAAGATAAAGACGTCCAGTTAAATTATTACACTTTTTTTTAATATTTTTAGTTACTATATTTTTGCAATGTTTTATGCGATTGAAGGTGGCATGAACATCCAAGTTGCGACAGAATTCAAACTAGCCCCTCTTAGATTACTTACTATTCCTGCGTCTTACTAAGATTGCTACAATACCCAGCTGTTCTTGTCACTGTGTGTCGGTGACACAGTGGTTAGGGCTCTCATTGAAGATGCGAATGGTTCGGGGTTCAATCCCCTGCCGACTCACACCTTATATCTATAGTCGGCTTGCAAAATTTAGGATACCGATATCCATGCTAAAAATTCCATAACTGAACCAAAAAATAAGGTGTGGAATCAGGCTAAAATCAAAAAATCTTGTTTCCCACCGATGTTTTTCATTTCTGTATCAAGAATATTACTTGAAGAGATTACACAGCGTATTTCGAATGTAGTTCCCCACACATATATCACTCATTGCTAGTATCAGAGTATCAATTGACACTTGAAACACGCCACTCTAAGTTAGTTGGTGAAAAGCTGGCTCGACCAAATGTGACGAGGTCGAACTTTTTATACACTTAATTTCACCCCTGCTGAGCCGAAGTCGTTATCACGTACAGCCCGCTTACGTCTCCGATATATAGCTGAAGCTGTTGCAATAAGACCGACTAAACCGGAACTTTGTATCCATAAAGAACACGTCCAGACGCTGTTTCTACCGTGGCCAAACTTGGATTAATGATTCTTCTCCTCACCAAGAGTGTTCCTACCACTTAACCCTCTTGGTTTTGTTTTTACTTTGCTTATTATTACAAATTATTATTATTATTCGTCACAATTTATGCCCTTCACGCAAACATTATCTCAATACTATCGAATTTTCCATTTATACTATCCGGACTTACTATTAGTGTTATTATCTCTTTTCTCAATATATGCCTCCACTTGTGTCATTTCACATATTCGTTATTTTATCATGAACCTCTCATTGCAGTCTTACTGTCTCCTGTTTAACACAGAAAACTTTGTACTAGCCACTCACCAACACCTTCCATAATGAACTGACTTGTTAACTTTCCTACCCCACACTGTACAAATCTATTATGACTAATCACCACCATTGTCTCCCGTTTTACAAATATTTTCTAATCGATTTCAGCCGCATAACTGGCCTTTATTGTAACGACCACAAATATTTATATTTTATAATTGTAAGAACCTGAAGAGAGAAATTATTGAAATGAATATTCTTCGTTCAGATTGACTTTTAATTCCTGTGATATGGGAATATTTCACACTAGTAAAACTTCCATATGTCACTCTTTACATGAATACCAGTCGACCAAAAGCCAAGGTGACCTCAGAAAATTTTGAAAAATAAATAACTAAACCGTAGTTGTATGAGTGCTTCAATTCAGTATAAATTAAGATCTGTTTATTTTTCTTTTCTTTTTAGGTGAAACATTGTGCAGCAAATGTACTCAGAGAAACTTGGCTGTTGTATAAAAATGCTAAACTTATGCCAACATTTAACCCGCGTCGTGTAAGAGCACATCAAAGGAAATTTCTTCAAGCTATTTACAGGTAAGTCATTTTTACTGGCTGACTATATTTCTCTCATTATTTCGGTTTTAATTCCAAAAGGGAATGTAGTGTCTCAATAGTCCATCTCTACATTTTCCTCTAATCTTTGAAGTCTTTATCAGCTGGTTATCCAGATGTCACGTGTGAGTATGGATGTCTCACCAACGACAATGGTTGGGGTCGCGCTAAATCACGAATTGGTGAAAGTTAGAATTCACGAGCCATTGAATCGGGTCCCAGTGAGTGGCTGAATGGTATACGAGCCAGATTACCTTCTAACCGAAAGGTCCTGGGTTCGAATACATGTGGGTGCGTACATCCGATGATTCTCAAACTAGGATGAAACAGCTGTCGAATAATCCCTGGTTTTAAATGGTTCTCTAACTGATATCAATCCCTGATCAACTCGAGTCGAGCGACGAACTGAAATAATGGAATTATATAAACGAAGTTGGAAAGTGGTGTGAGTAGTACCTTGATATGATGATTATAAGCAATAGTAATAAATTGTGCTTCAAATGTGGTTATCATCAACAGTAAATATCACTGTTTATTAACACTGTGAGAATTTATCAAAATAAATTTTATCCATAATAGAATTATACTCTACCGCGACACTGCACAAGTTTTATTCTTATATTTAGCAATTAGTTAGAGAATTAAATTGGTTAGTCATGCATTTAAACCTCGGTGTAAGTGCTTACCGAATCTTATTAGTCTAGTCCGCAATACTGGCCACCATGCTAGGTGGCTTGCAATCATGGTACACTCTGAATCGATGTTATTGTTAGTCGATGATTGAAGGCAATCAAGTGAAAGCCCTGTCTGGCCTACATTTCATGATTGTTTTCACTCGTCAGGAAAGGCACATCTGTAGCCCTGAAAGAAACTCATGTCTTCTTTAGGATTTCAACTTGCGTCCGCCAATGCCACAGTACGAATTTCGTGCAAAATCAAGATCCATGGATTCCTGTTTACTGCCTCGAACTACAGAACATAAGTCAAAAATTTACGACGATATCCAGTCGCTCAGCTGAATGAGCACATGGCAAAACTGATTGATAGAATAAGTTTTGCACCAACACTGAAGAAGTGCTCGACGCGTAACACTGGCTATGTTGTAAGGTTTTGTTTCCTTACTTGTCTACAATGAACCTCCAATCACACTAATATAGCCATGTGGTTGCTTTGAAATATTCCTTTCACTGAGGTAGACATACAGAAGTCAGGTTCCTCTTAGACTGCTGTGACAATAACAACAACTCTAAAACAAGCAATAAAGGTTAATAAAGCAGGATTAAATGAATCCATCGAATTTTGGCAGAACTCGTCAGCTGGATACTCTACATACACTGATATAGAAATACTTTTGGAATTACATTGGGAGATATAAGATTGATAAGCAAACAAACCACATTGAATTAGTCATGCAGAAAGACACGTGCGAATGTTTTCCAGGTCATGTTCAAATAGATAAGAGAAGAGAGAGTATGAGAGATCAAAATTAAGATAAATTGCATTACGCTTCAATTACATTACTTAGATAAACAATCAGGCATTAGAGAATATAACAAGAATTGCAAACAGAGTAATATCAATAGTAATAGTTATAATAACAATAGTGTTGAAGTGAGTTAAGATAATCCTACTGATAAAGGATAGTTTTAAATGAATCACGAATAATAATAATAAGAGGTAGAATAATAAGCAAAACGTATTACCACCTTAGATTCAGAGTGACGACCATCTCCTTTTGTACACAGAGACCTGGTTTATGAACTCGAATTGCACAAGCCCCTGCAGTTGCAAGCATTTTCCTGTTTCTTTGTCTGCTGACAATGGTGAATGACATGACCGCGTGGATATCATGTCCGCAGTCCACTAGATGTTTTGTTACTAAGGATTTTGGCACTTTGCACTCAGCTGCTTTCAACCATTTTGATTAATGCTCCATCATGCGAGTAGATAATCGCCTTTCTGTACTACCTATATATTTGCTTGCACAACATACTCGAATTGATAAACGCAGTTTGAAGTGTCAAGGTAAAGTCGCTGACCACACCACTGAAAGATGTGGATTCGAATCCAGAGGGGAGATAATTTCTTCTTCCAAGACTGTAGATACTCCTTGTTGACGAGTACCAAATCACGCATGAAATGTAATTCCAGGCCGTCTTATCGATCGCCTCCAACTCCCTAGTAGTTACACATATGACAATCCTGTGGGCAAGTTTTGCAAAGAACGCAAAGCCAATAATACTAAATACGTAGCCCACAACTGTAGGCGAGATTACCTACAAAATGACGCTGAAAAGTAACCAAATAGCTCCACTTTCATCATTAATCCTATTGACTTTCTTCATGAGGTAATCTCGTTATAAACACCCTAATTTCGTTCGCTTAAAGGTATGGGTTAAGGATAAGATTAGATCAACAGTTTGGTCAGGGATAGGTTCAACATGACAGTCAGAATTATGATTAAGGTTCAGGGATCAGTAATGTATTTAATCCCCGATTATTATTCTTATAAGCTGAGCTCTCTTCCACGATTGTTTGCGTGATTCAATTCATTTCTGTTCAATAATTAGTCTTAGAGATCGATATTTTTATAATTATTCGTATATTGTGATTATCAGGCAGCCATTCTGATTGGTTGTTCAAGGTCATTTGGTAGGTTAGTCACTTGGGTTGTGATACTTTATGCTTACCGATATAATCAATACTTATTTATATAATGCATGATAATTAGAGGTGGACTGAGAAGCCAGAAACAAGATCATGCTGTGATCTACATTGAGTCTCACAAATTTTCTGATAGATTACTGAGTTATAGGATTTCATCATGAGCTGATATTAGTTAGAGAACCATCGGAATACCTGGAGTACTGGATAGCTACCTGTTTCGTCAGTATAGTTTGGAACTCTTCATCAGTACGCACCCACCACAGTGGGGTACAAATCCAGGACCTTCTGGTTACAAGGCGAGTTCGTATACTATTAAGCCACTGGGACCCAATCCAATCGCTCATTAATTCCAACTTCTGCCCATTCACGACATAGCGCAACCCCTAGTCAATATCTTCGGCGAGTATTTGTCCTCTCACCCGACCTGCTGCACGCTACTGGTCACAACTCTCACTAGAACCCCAGGTAAATACCTACCTGAACAGGACAAGTCGCTAGTGAGCATCTCATCGATATTTAAGTATTGGTTTGTAGAAATTTTAATTGATTGGTTTACAGGATTTCATCATGAGCTGACATTGGTTAGATAACCATTGGAAAACCTAGAAGATGTTTAGTCCTAGTTTTGGACTCTTCGTCACCGTGCACCCACTGGGGTTCGAACCATGGACTTTCTGGGCCATTGGATCGGATCCCAGTGGCTTAATGGTCTACGAGCTCGCTAGTCTTGTAACCAGAAGCTCGTGTCTTCGAACCCTGGCGGTGGGTGCGTACTGGGTCCCAATCCAGGACAACAGAAACAGCTGTCCAGTACTCCCAGGTTTTCCAGCGGTTCTCTAACTAACTGATGTCAGCTCATGATGGAATCCTGTAACCAATTAATCAAATCCCTACAAACCAATACTCGAAGATTCCTGAGTTGCTGAGTAACCGGAAGCCTCCTCTATGCAAAAATACTTTCATCATTTAAAATACAGCCATGCTTCTAAAAATAATACTTTACATATCCATTGAATTATTATCATTGTTCTGTTTGGTTCTGAGTGGGGCGTAGGGCTTCAACAGCTCACCACTTTAGCTGATCCTACGATTGCCGATAGTCTCTTATCTCCTCCTCACATGACCTACACTCCATGTCATCCACGAAGTGATACCCAACTTGTCGATTCCCATCCGACTTCCAGTCAAGGGTGGCCTGAAGCGTGACGTCATTCAGCGGTCTTCTCAGTGTGTAACCAGTCCATCTACACTTTCCCCATCACATTTGTCGAGCGACTGGTTCTTGGTTGGTTTGTTCTTATAGTCTCTGAATGCTGATTATTCCTGGTTGGTTATCTGATATTCCATGTGGACAGAAAGGGGCAACTGTTGGTAAAAGACTGCAGATAGTTAAAAATGCTCTTGGCGAGTAGCCAAGATTCTGATAAGTCTAAAAGAATCGACAGATTTGACACTGGTATTCAAAATTTGAATCCGGTTCGTTAAGCTGAGTGTGGAGGATTTCCAAACTGATTTCATAATTACGAAGTTATTTCTCGACTTTCCAACTCTGGTTACGGAATCATCATCTGTGTCGACTGCCTGTATCTGAAATGGTGCTTTCTAGGTAGATTGAGGAAGTGATTACCTTCAAGCTTCTACGTGTGGTTGGACAGTGGCTATCCTCATAACCTCTGTCCCCCTCCCCATGTTTACTTGAATTCTTGTCTTCGCTGCCAGCCCCTTCAACTAGTTCTCCTGGACTTCGTCTATATATCTTCGACTTCGTGTGACGTTAGATATAAATTATTCTCGGATTCCAGATCTTCTAGAATCTTATTCCTGTCCTTTCGCTTTCCGCGTACGATCTACCACAATATCCTGTCCATCACAACACTCAGGAATATCATCGATGACAATAGGCAATGGCCTTGTCTGACTCCTGTTTCCGTTGTGAATCACCTGGCACGAGCCATTTTCATATAATTAGCTGTTGAATTCCATATGCTTTAATTACAAGAAATTTTAAGATGTGTCACATAACTAAACAAGAAAATAACCCCTTCTAATTTTCTCTTTTCAGACTGAGAACAATGAAGGTCAGGCAACGAGAATTGCAGGATAAATCAAACTCACTGGTTGATTTAGCAAAAGTAAGTGTAGAACGACTGTTACTTGATTCTCTTTTTTTACACACACACACACACACACAGCTTTCTCAGAATTGTAGAAAAACTCGTTTTATCCACGGAAAAATATTTTTTAAGTATTAAAGTAAGATCTTTATGTTCTGGAAAAATTACAAAGTAAAATAAGGAGGAAGTTAAGATAAAAATCTCCGAGGAACTTTAATAGAAAATGGTTTCCCATCCCCAGATTCATAGACAACAATCTAAAACCTAAAGGAAATATCTGAAAATGCCCAGTACTGATGCTCAACCTCGAATTCAAAAGTGACACCGAGGCAGAACTTCAAAATCTCTCAGTGAAACATACTTCGACGCCATCCCACGTGTAACATTTTCTTGCAAGAAACTATTCAACTAACACTCGGCTCTACATAGGATTCTAAATAAAGCAAGAATTAGGGTGGCATTCAAACCCTCCTACAAACTCAGTCAGGTAGGACAAGCTCTGTAGGTTAAAGGACCTGTTGACCCAATAGACAAAATAATATAATTTACGAAATACCCTACAATGACTGTGAGGTCAACTGCCTAGGTCAGACTAGTAGGTCGGAGGTAGTCAGATTGTCGGGAGATAAGAATTTAGCTAAGGTAAGAATTGTTGACCTCGAGAAAATAAGTAATTCACGAAAAAACTCAGCAATTGCACTTCACGCATCAACACACAACCACACAATAGTGTGGGAGAGGGTTAAAATTCTAAATAGCAATCTAGGTAGGCGGAGAGCGTGAGAGGTTGATTACTGAATGCTTGTTCATCGAGTCTACATCCAACACATGAAACAGAAATGACTCAATGCAAATACCAGAAATATGGAAGATATTCTGACCACCTGTCAGTCAAATCAGAAGAGGACAATAAATAATCTCAAAATTCTATTTCAATTCAAGCACACACATCACAACATTCTGACAAGTTACTTATTATGACTATAGAAACACTCGTCTTATTTCCCATCTGACTGTAATTGATCAATAACACTCATATTATTATTATTTCTGAATGTACATTGTCGCATATTGAGTTTCATCCAAATATCTAGTCAATTCCACTCATGTATGTAAACGAAGCAAGCACGTTGTGCGGGTAACTTGATATGATTATGAGCAGTAGCAATAAATTGTGCTCGAAAAGTGGTCATCAGTTAATATAATACAACACTGTGTGATTTATCAAAATAAAATCTTATCCATGAAGTTATACTCTACCACCACAGTGCCTAAGTTTTATACTTATATCAATAACTCGAAAGACAAGCTGTATCAATAGGTCACCACTTCAAAAATGCATATACTAGTTCACTTGATCTTGTAGAACTGAGTACATTGGCCTAACCATTGGTAAAACACAGTTGGCAACACTATCCATCATGGTTAACAAAGGGAGGGTTTATATATATATATATAGTTCGGTTACAGCTCCGTTTGAAAAGTCCTTCAAAGCCAATATACAAGAGCTGATCAAACCTTTCAAAAGGGAGTGAAATTGAGGCAAATAAGAATAGCTGAGACACTGGCTATCGAAAACTTGAAGCTATGCTATGCTATTCATTCAAAAGAAATACGTCCAACCGGTGTCTTTACCATGGCCATCCTAAAAACATCGATTCTCTCAGTTATGATTATCCCAATTAACTTGTCATCCAACCTTTCTGTTTATTTCTGTTATCTTTACGTGCCTTAATTCCTGTCTATATTCCTGTTTTTATATTAACTCCCTGCCTATTTTGTTATTATTACGTTGTAAGTCGTCAGTTGCACACAAGAAGTCACGTTTCTCAGTAATTAAGTTTATTATACCCTCCAATTTTTTAAATTCCACACATCACCGGAAATAGTTGTGCAATTTTCTTACCCATTCAATAAAGATATACACAAGTGTACAGCTTAATTGATGACTTCGTCGGAAAGAGAAGCTTTTCTTCTCTGTAACCATTTTCAGTTCATATCAAATTTTAAAACGCTGTTTAATATTTAGAACCAAACTAGACCACATTCAAGTTCTTGAAGCCACAAAAGTTAAAGGGAACAAGACTGACAGTCAGCAGAACTAATGTTTATTGGGGAGAAAATGTAATGGACAGACCTTGTACTGATGTTCACTGTCTTCTTTAGATGTTACTCAATAGATTCTTATCCGAATAGTAATTGTCTTTCCACATTTCTTACCCACTGGCTTTGCCCATAAAAATCTTGCTTAGTCCATATATTACTTATATTCTTTTGTTAAGTAACATGCATAGCATATTACTACTGGAATTTCCACAAGTTTACTTTGCTTAGAGAACCAGTAAAAATTAGACAACAGCCGTTTCGTCCTTATTGGATACTCTTCAGTCAAGAATTCAACCTAAGTCCATCAAGTTAAAAGGTGAGCTCACTCACCACTCCACTAGTGAGACGAAATCCAATGATTTATGAATTCTGACTTTTCCCCATTCGTGATATATAGCGTGATCATTAGCTAGTGTTATCATTGCGGAATTATTCGCAAAGGAATTCACCATGCAACCTGAAGACCCAAGGTCCAATCCCTTATGAGATCATGGGTGTGTACTATTGAAGAGTCCAAAAATGTACAAGATAGTCTTTCAGTACTGCTTAATTTCATTTTGGCGATGAGATCTGAAAGCAATCAATTCTCTGTCAACGAACATTTGAAAAGTACTCAAATATTTTTTTGTTTTAGTTGAAAACTTCTAATCTCAAGGTGACTCATATCAACAGAGACAGAGAGAAATCTAAAGGGAAAACATATATTGGTCTAATGTCTTTTTCTTGTTTTGAAAACTGATGTTATCATGTATTGTGATGAAGGATTGTTTCTCTTATTCGGTCAAATCACCATCCTCATAGCCATCATCATATCATCATCATCACGATTATTATTATTATTGTTCCCTTGGGTACCTAGTGGAACATAGGCCTTCAAATGCACTTCTCCACTTGCCATTTCTGTCTTCTGCTGTACTTTTCACCTGCATTCATGTTAGTCGATCTTCACACAGTCTCCTCCACGTCACCCTTCCACTGACGACCAACTCCCCGTTTCCGTTTTGGGTTCCACTCGAGCAATGGCCTGACGCGCGCACGATGTCACCCAGCGGAGGCCTCCTCAGCGAGTGAGTGTCCAATGCATCTCCACTTACTCCTGCATATTTGTTGGTTGGCGACCGCTTCTTTTTTTGTTTGTTTGTGCCCATAGTTTCTTGTCGGTGATTCGTTCCGGCCCGGCCATCTGATCTTCGGCAAAGAGCGAAGACAGTTGTTGATAAAGTTCTGCAAAAGGCTGTTGGAAATATTCTTTGTGACCCACCCGCTAACTTTCTGATCCGTATAGAAGAACTGACTGACTTGACATTGTTTTTATTGAAAATCCGACCGAATTTTGTTGTTGATGCTGGCTGAGTGACGAAGATTTCCAGATTGATTTCAGGTTGATGAATGTGTTTCTCGCCTTCCCGAATCTCTCTCGATTTGACATCCTCGTCAGTTTTGACTGCCTGTAGTTGAGACAATGCTCCCTAGATAATGAAGTGAATGAATGAATGAAGTGAAGTAACCTCTTTCAAATCCCTCCCGTTGATGGTGATTAGCGCTTGATATTGCTGCTGTTGTTGTTGTTGGCTGGTTATTTCCATTACCTCCGTCTTGTATATGTTCACCTGGAGTCCTGTCTTCGCTGGCTGCTTCTTCGACCAGTTTGTCGGTCGGTTTTCGCTTGTAAGTCTTCGATTTTGTGACAGTGACATCAAGCATAAACCATCCACGCGTGAAATCCAGGTCTTCTAGGTTCTTCACGTCTGTCGGTCCAGGATGTCCCTTTTCCTCGTTTCCCACTCACTGTCTGACGCATAATCCAGTCAGTCCACCACAATTAGGAATATCATTGGTGATAATCGGCAGACAGCCTTGTCTGACTCCTGTGTTTACTCCAAACGCCTCGCTGAGTTTTCCGTTGTGGATCACTTGACATGTGCCGCCGTTGTCATACAGCTGTTGAATAAGGTTGATGAATATTTGGGGTACTCCGTAGTACTGGATTAATTTCCAAATAACTTCGTGGTCAATGCTAACTGTCGAAGGCCTTTTCAAAGTCTATAAAGTTGAGGTAGATGATGAAGCCATAATTTCATTGATTTTTGTCGAATTTATACACATATTAAATTTCACTCTACAGACTACATTTTTCATCCGACCTTCCTGTTTGTTATTATTATATCCTTTAATTCCTGGAGGAACATAGCGCTTTATCCAAATGTCTCCATTGCCTTCGGTTTTTTGCCGACTTTTTCACCCCACTCCAAGTCTGACCACATGCCTTCATCTCCTCTTCACATGACCTCCTCCAAGTCACCCTCACACTGACGACCAACTCGACGCTTCCCTTTCAGATCCCACTCGAGCAGTGGCTTGTCTAGTGATGTCACTTGATGGTTTCCTCAGAGTATGATCAATCCAATCCACCCCGATTTCTCCTTGCAGATTTGTGGCACAATTGGTTCCTGCTGGGGGTTGGTTCGCTCATTACCAGAGATCCGTGTTGTTGACCTTTTCTGGCCATCTGATCTTAAGTATTGAGTGAAGACAACTGTTAATGAAGTTCTGTAGTTTGTTTGAGATGCACTTTATGACGCACCAGGTCTCTGATCCATATAGTAGCACTGACTTCACACTGGAGTTGAAAATTCGGTTCTTATTTTTGATGCTGAGTAGTGCTGTTGACCTCCATACAGACTTAAGAGTAATGAAAGCTTGTCTTGCTTTTCCGATTCTGGCTTTGATATCCTCATCAGTTCCATCCTCCTGTAGTTGAAACAATGCTCCCCAGGTAGGCAGGTAGGTGAAGGAGGTTGTTTCTTTCAGGTTCCTCCCATTTATGCTGGCTGATTGTTGTCTGTTGTTGTTGCTGTTGGTGTTGGCCAGGAATCTTCATCACCTCTGCTGATTGCACTTTATAATTTTAT